CATTAAAAAAAATTCATCAACCCAACTATTCTTTAGGCAATCCCACACAATCTTGCCTACAATCCTACCATTTGAAAGGCAATTTTAATAAGAAAAAAAATTATACATAAATGAATTTTTTATTTTATTTTATAATCACTAAGCATAAAGTCATGAGTCCTACGTGTATTTATTAACAATAATACTATATTTCTTAATTTATCACTTCTAAATGACCCTTAATGATGTGACATTGAGGTTAAACTCCACATGATGAAATGTTTGACAAATCAAAATTTGACATTTGTACACATTATTAGGAGCAATTTTTAGGGGTGTTAAATTAGGTGCTTCAAGCATTTTTCATTTATAAATATAGAACTCACTATTGAAAACACAAAAATATGTGTGAAATATAATTATATTTCATTCATATTTCACTTATCTTTTCCAAATCTTTACCCAAATTCATACTTCAAGCACAGTATAAGGTCGCGTTTGGTCAATAGATTTAGGAAGGAAAAGGGTTTTCCAAACTCTCAAAGGCTTTATGAAGAGAAGTTATTTGTTGGTCTTGAGACACTGCCATGTGGTGCCCCAATGGTGTTGTGATTGGTGGAGAGAGTGGAGTTTAAGAATTTGTATTGGATGATTGAGGAACATCTAATGTCATAGGGAATTGTGATTGGTGTGGGGCATGATCACGTAATACCCTAAGACCAACCAATAATTTTTCCTTTATGAGACTACGTTGGGACAGATGATCTCAAGCCCAAGTCTTAGTGTTAGTAGTGGTACAACATAAAAAAATATATATTTTGAAAAGTAAGTTAAAAGTTGATTTTTTAATTTTTTTTTATTTAAAAAGCGTATAAAACATAAAGTGATGTGATTTTAAAAAGTTAAAAAGCTAAAAAACTTACTTTAACCCAATTGTCATACTTTTTCATATTCCACTAGACATATAATGATAATATCAGTCCTTTAATTTTCTATAAAATAGAATGTTTATGTAGGAATGTAAATTTGTATATGTACAGAATTTTTGTATTTTCTGATCTACAGTGTAACAAAAAATGAAAATTAATATATATATATATATATTTTGTGGTGATCAACTAAAAATAAATTTATTTGGACATAACATATTTTATCTTTTGAAAGATTAAAATTGTTTTTTGAACCAAAATCATACATAATGCCATTACATTATCATATCCACTGCCACCTCATTATTGTCATCTGGTCGCCACGCAAATGTTGTTGCCATCGCCACTGCATCATTACTAATACCACTATTTTCTAAAAATTTACTTTATTTTATTATTTTTGGATACAAAAACGATTTTCATTCAAATAAATAGAATGTTAAATGAAATGTACAAATCCTTCTCCCTGATAAAAGGAACAATACTCTAAAAAAAAACAAAAATAATGTTCCACCAAAAAATAACAACAATAATTACAATGAAAGGTCTGGTTGGTTAGGGATCATCAAGGCTTGATCGAGACGAAAAAATATTTTATGTAATAAATACGTTACTAAGATGATATGATGTATATTTTTATTTATTAATTGACATATGATTAAAATGAGACTTGAGAAGTTACTTTTTGCTTAGTCTGAAATGCTGAGTATTCGGTCATATCAAATCTCGGTCCAATTTGTTGTCAATTAATAAATGGAATAATGATACTGCGTTATTTAGACCACGCCGTTATGCAAATTACTTGGGTAAACTACCAATAACGTTGTATCCTAATGTAAATTTACTAATAACGCTAAACTACAATATTATTATTTTATGGTACACTCAAACCACTTTCCTTTCCAATTTCAAATTATTTTCTCTTTTATCTTTTTTTTTTCATTCTAAAATTTCAATCCATTCCACCAAAACTCACAATTATCATCAATATCATTGTTTTATGAATGAAAAAAAAATGAAAATTATGGAGATTTGCTCACAATCTATGACAAATTAATTAATTAAGAAAAATACCACAAAACTGATTTTCTAGTTCTGTAAAATAAATCTTGGGGTTGCTGCATTAGTGGTTGTAACAGCGCCCGCGTGGAGCCTCATGCTACAGTTCGGACTCGATTTGTGTCACGGTTCTTAATCTGAACCAAAGAGTCCAAATCTGGCAAATCGTTTTGAGAAACAGATTTTTGAAAAAGTAGTGCCAAACATGGACTGTTTTGCCAGATACAGAGTCGCCACAATCTTGGGGTTGCTGCATTGGTGGTCCACTGTCTCTTCTTGGTCAGCCTCTGCCCTCACGAAGTCTTCCAATTAACTGTCTATGACATGATACATAGACGAAAGAATAAGAAGAAACAAACAGAAGAAAGAGAGCAATGATTTACGGATTGGACGAGAAGAAAGAGCGGGACTCGAATGGGATTATCTACTCTCTCAGCCCAAATTCTTCCAATTAAGAAATTGGTTGGTCGAATGGTAACAAATATTATAATAGATCGCATTCGATGAATGAAACAGAACAAACAAAAAAAAATCAATAGAACAACTAATATTCTGGCTTGCAATTGGGGTGTTGGGTTTATAAATTTACCTACCAAAAAACGAGATGCTTAAGTGAGTGTGACCCTTTTCCAATATACTAGATTAATTATCCACCAGAACATTGCCTATAGACTAAAAAGCAATATGAATGAAATGGAAAAGTACTTTGGAAATGTTATGTGACCATAAAATTCCCAAAATGTGGAAAGCAAAATCTCGTAAAGAAATTATAAAGGCCACTTATGGTGCGCGGTTCACAAATCGAAGACTGTTTGGTCTGTTTCAAAACAACATTTACAAAATTGAGAGTTTCCACAATGGGATAAATAAAAGGTTTTGCAAGAAAAGCATAAAATAAAATGTATGCTTCGTTGTTAGAAATAACACCAACTTAAACTCATTTGACATGTTTTGGCCATGCGCAATGTAGGCTGACACACCAAAATACAAAAAAGACAAACTCATCTAAGTAGGAGGTGTCAAAAAGTATGGGTTAGGGTTGTGACAAATGACATGATCCTGTTGGACTTAACTAGCGATATGGTTTTCCATAAGGTTAATTAGGGGATACAAATAAACAATTTTTTGTTTTTCAATAGGTATCTAAAATACATTAACGCAGTGTTTGGTTAGGAGATTTGAGAAGGGATTTGAAAAAAAAGAAAGAAATGTAATCCTATTCATTGTGTATGTTCATGTTTTCTAAACACATTTTTTTGAAAATTTTAGAGTTTTTGTTTGGTTATTTTTTAAACCAGACAGTTTTTTGAAAATTAATATGGGAGTATTTTTTGATGTGATATTTAAAAAAAAAAAAAATTGTCTCTCTCTTTAAATCGGAGGGAAACTTGAATTTGCAATAATGCATTTTTTTAAAAACCAAACAAAGATCCTTTTTCAAAATAGAGTTTTCAAATCATTTTTTGAAAAAATAATTCAAAAAAATGGAACCAAACATGATAATTTATGTTTGGTTATAATAAAAAATATATGGAAAACGAAAGGGAGTAAGAAATAAATTAAAAAATAGAAGGACCTTCTAGAACATCAATTCCTTTTATATTTGTGAGAAAACTAGAAGGAAAAATTTATCGGGGAGAGAGAGAGTCATTGTTTATGGCTTCTCACAGGAGATCATTCATGAGTAGCTTCAGAAAACCATCATTGACGAGTTTTGAAGATCTAACTCTAGTAGCAAACTCTAATTCGCAGCATCATTCAACAAACCATTCCAATCAAGGATCTTCATTTGCTTCAATTGGTAATCTTCAATCAAAGAACTCGATTGAAGATCCATTGCCTGGAATTTTCGATCAGGTATTTGTGCTCATGTTTCATTTTCTCTTACCTTCTCATCAAACTTAGATCTATATTGATTTCTATGAATTTGTTTTTTTATGTTCAAGCTGCTTTGCAATTTTGCTTCGAAGTGAAATTGCAGATCTAACTATGGTAGCAATCTCTGATTCGCAACATCATTCAGCAAACCCTTCCAATCAGGGATCATCATTTGCTTCAATTGGTAATCTTTAATCAATGAACTTGATTGAAGATTCATTGCCTGGAATTTTCGATCAGGTATTTGTGCCCCTCTTTCATTTTCTCTTACATTCTTATCAAAGTCAGATCTATATTGATTTCCATGGATTTGTTTATTTATGTTCAAGCTACTTTGTAATTTTTCTTCGAAGTGAAATTGCAGATCTAACTCTGGTAGCAATCTCTGATTCGCAGCATCATTCAGCAAACCCTTCCAATCGGGGATCATCATTTGCTTTAATTGGTAATCTTCAATCACTGAACTTAATTCATTGCCCAAAAATTTCGATCAAGTATTTGTGCCCCTTTTTCGTTTTCTCTTCTTCTCTCATCAAACTCAGATATGTAAATTAACCCTTTCAATCTTGTGAAATGTTTGATTGAATGTTTATTTGAAACATGAGCTTTTGGATGGTCTGTTGATTAGGTTAAGTTAGTTTTGCGTAATGAGTATAGATCATCTCAGATGAATTTGTAGGACAGTAGAAGTGGTGTATGATGGAAACAGTCCTATATTTGGTACATGTTAACTTGAAGCAAAGTATTTGTTTTAGTATTATTTAAATTAAGGGGTAGACTTTATTGCGCGTTAAATTAGTTGATTGGGAAAATAGGTTTGAAGCATTATTCCCAAATGGATTGTCATTTGAGTGTTGCCTGGACTAGGAACTTTTTGATGTAATCATTGCAACATGGAAACATTATTAACAAGTGGATGTGATTTTTTATTTTAAAAAATTGTAGATGCATGATCATGAGGAATGGGAAAAGTATAGAAAGTGGGCAGCCACTTGTGTAGCTATGCATGCTTCATATGCTGTTAGCCTTGTCACAATTCTTCATTGTCGTGATCATATAAGGAACTCAATTTCAAAACAAGGAGATTATGAAAGATATGTCCTAATTAAACGACTAGCGACTTTGGAAAATGCAGATTGTTGTAGATAGTTACGCATGAGAAAAGATGCGTTTGCCACACTAGTTAGCATGCTTAAAAGAACTCAGTTTCTTAGAGACAATCCTCAAAGTAAAGTAGAAGAACAAGTTGCAAAATTCCTTTATATAATTGGCAATAATTTTAGGAACCATACAATCAGGTTCTTTTACAGACAATCAGGTGAGACTGTTAGTTGGCATTTTCATCAAGTTCTTAAAGCCATTATATCATTGGAAGATATCTTTTTAAAGCAACCTGATGGATTCAAGTGCCCTCCGGAGATTAGAAACAATCCCAAGTATTGGCATTATTTTAAGGTAGTTACATGAATGCAATTAGGGTATAATATTATATGTTTGGATACAAATAAGGAACTTTTTATAGGATTGTGTTGGTGTGATTGACGATACACATTTTCGTGTAAGAGTGCCGAACAAGGATGCACAAAGATACTGAGGACGAAATGCTATCCCACTCAAAATGCTTTAGCTCATTTCTTTTGATTTAAAGTTTAAATATATCCTTCCGGGATGGGAAAGATCTGCTTCAGACTCAAGAATATTAGATAATGCATTAACAAGAAAAATGGATAAATTGATTGTTCCTCAAGGTGATCACTGAACGTGTATATATGCTGATGAATATAAATCTTTTTTTGTTTTCTTTCAAACTAATATCATTTAATTACTTGTTGGTCCTAGGGAAATATTACTTGGTAGATGTAGGATTTCAACTAAAAACTGGGTTCCTTGTTCCATATAGAAGTACTCGTTACCATTTGAAGGAGTATAGTGTTCATCAACCAGAAAATTCCCAAGAGCTTTTCAACCTTTGTCATGCATCTTTGCGAAATGAAATTGAAAGAGCCTTTGGTGTCCTAAAGAAAAGGTTTCCAATTTTAGGGAGTGGGGCAGAGCCATATTATGATGTTGACACTCAAGCAGATATTGTTTTGGCTTGTTGTATTTTGCATAACTACCTCATGGGTATTGATCCCAATGAAGGTCTTGTTGAGGAAGTTGATACAGAGCTTAGAAAAGGACAAGTGCAAGCTAATGTGGCTAGATCAAGTTTAGCTGAAGAATGTAGGGAAGGAGAATTGTTAAGGAAACGAATAGCTACTGATATGTGGAGGGATTACGATATAAATCTTTAGTGACAATCAAATTATAATATAGATCCTGGAAAACAGAGAGGGGCTAGAAGCGTTATTTGATGTTCTTGTTCTTGTGATGTACCCATTATGTACTGATTTGCTTTACATCAATATGATCTTTTTCTTTTGAATGTTATCTTGGAATGAATTATATTTTGATTTGTTTTTGTATTATGCGAAACATTGCATTTGTTTGGGTGGTAATTTGCTACTAGCTATGCTCTTCTTCCAATATGTTTTGTGGCATTTTTGAGTGTAGGTGGAAGGTGACCAAGAATGCTTGGTAGAAATTGACAAGAAACATTTGAAATGGAATAATCAAATGGATGTTGTTCTTATCGACTCACTCTTGGACCAAATGCTCAAAGGGAAAAAAATTGGTGGTAGTTTTACATCATCTGCTTATAGAGCTGGAAGCAATGCGGTGAGTGCTAAGTTTAGCATACATTGTGATTCCACTCATGTTAGGAATGCAATGGCTAAAGATATGTTAACAATTGATAGTGGATTTGGATATAATCATTCAACACAACTGATTGAAGCTACAACAGGTGTATGGGCAACTTACCTCAAGGTATAACTAATTACAAGATTGATGAAGTTCTATACTAGAAAATTAAAATATTTATTCATCATTATTTAATATAATATTATATATGCTATTCTCTATAGGTAAAGCCTAAAGCTTCTCATACATTGTGATTCCAATCATGTAAGGAAAGCAATGGCTAAAGATATGTTAACAACTGATAGTGGATTTGGATATAATCATTCAACACAACTAATGGAAGCTACAACAGGTGTATGGGCAACTTACTTCAAGGTATAACTAATTGCAAGATTGATGAAGTTCTGTACTTGAAAATTAAAATATTTATTCATCATTATTTAATGTAATATTATATATGCTATTCTCTATAGGCAAAGCCTAAGGCTTCTCATTTTCGACATGCTTTGATTCAAAAATTTCAAAAGTTGTGTCAACTCTTCGAAAAGAATCGAGCAACTGGGAGTCTTGCTGTAGGTCCAAAAGAAAAGCGACTTCGTTAGGCTAGGCAACAAATTCTTTTGGACTATAAACATACTGATCAGACAGAGTCACTATCAGAGAATCTTGATGGGATTGGAACTCAAGATGACTAAACTGCTAAAGTATCTTGTTCCTCTAACTCAAAGAAGAGAAAGAATAAATCAGGTGATACTCTGTGTGAGGAAGTAAGGTCAATTAAGGAGGGTCTAGATGCGATTAGCAGCACTTGATCGTGGTAACCTTCGGAACTATATAGATGAACAATTATTTGAGGAGATTGAGAAGGTTAGTGGCATGAGTGATGCTTCTCGAATGAAGGTGCATCAAGTTCTTACTAAAGAAGTGAGTGATGCTCAAGCATACATAGCTTGCCCTATTGAACGTAAGGTCTTTGGTTGTTTGTTAAATTTGGATCTTCAATCTTTGATGCATAGTACTATTTTTCTTTCTTTAGTGCCTTTTTATTTGAAGTTTTCAGGGATTTGGTGAACCTATGAAAATACCATTAGGCTTGGATTTTTTGTATGTAGACTTTCTTAGTTGCTTGCTGCACTTGAATGGTAGATTCAGGGCTTGTATGTGTCCTTGAGATTCTAAATGGTCTCTGTTGCATAATGGCCTCTATTGCATTTCTTTTTGATATTGTGGATATGAATGCTATGCACTGCTTATCAAGTTCTATTTTAATGTGTTTTTTTTTTTTTTTGTAATGCTTGTGAGATTATTCTGATAGAACTATGGATCTGTAACACTATTTAATGCTTTAAGATTCAGGGCATGTATGTGTCCTTGAGATTCTAAATGGTCTCTGTTGCATAATGGCCTCTGTTGCATTTCTTTTTGATATTGTGGATATGAATGCTATGCACTGCTTATCAAGTTCTATTTTAATGTTTTTTTTTTGTAATGCTTGTGAGATTATTCTGATAGAACTATGGATCTGTAACACTATTTAATGCTTTAATAATATTAACTTGATCATCATTATGTTCAATTTAAATAGGAACTCTTGGAATCATGAACTAATCTGAAACAAAACTATTTTTTTGTTTTGATTCTGGTCTAGTTTTATAGGTGTTAATTGTTCAGTTTGGTTGTTAAAATCACAAGATCGATAGACTAGTTGATTTGGTTTTTAATAACTTCTTTTAATTTTTTTTCTTCTAAAATATTAAATAGGTGAAAGAACTAAAAAAATACTTATCATTTTTATACAATTTTATTTTTTGGGAGGCTATAAATAATTTTTAAAAAATTGATTTTTATTTTTATCAAATTAATTATTATTTTTTATTTTTAAAAATTGAAACCTTTTTCTGAAAAACAAACTAAAACACTTTGATCGTGTACACCCATATTTTTCGCTATTACCAAATCGAGGTAAGAAGGTTTAAGCCATCTCACTTGGTTGGTAGTGAGTAGGGTGTTATCAAGATAGACATTATCTTTGGGAGTGTGATTCCTAAGAGGACTCTATTGAGGAGAGTCAGAGTTGTACTAGGATTGTGCCAGGCAGAATCTACAAAAGCTCATACAAGACTATGTACAGGTATCACAATTTTTACTATAGAATACACAAAGCTTTTGTGTCTATTATCTATTTTCTGACTTAGGCATCAGAGAGGTCTCCAGCACATACCTGCCGGCTAGCTCACGTTTGCTTTTTCAGGTAGCAAAGTGACAACGATTGGAGGAGTGCAAACTTGATTAACATGATTATACGAGAAGATTATTTTCGTGCTCGTACAGTATATAAAACACATTAAAGGCACATAAATACCCAAAAAAACCCAACTACAAAAGATAGTTCTCATAAAAAATCAACAAAAGAAAGAAGAGTGATTAAAATTTGCTTCATGCCAAAAATAAAGGCACTGTAAAAGAGTTGACCTAAGTATTGCCATCTACACATCCTCAAAGGTATGACGTTTTTGTTCACTCCAAATGCACCACCACATCAAACACGAGTGCCACCCTCTTCAATTCTTATCTTTCTTCCCCAAATTATCCAATGTCAAGATAGAGTAGAAGAATGCATTGTAAGCAAAATAACACCTTTACTCGCACCATTAGGTTTCCAAACAAAAATATCTTCACTTGTAATTAGGCCAACTCCTTCATAAAGGAGTTGAAAAATTCATTCACTTCATTCAATTTTCCATCCTGTATGAGGTCCCATATAATAATCGCATCAATGATCCTCATATATATAATCTAAAGACCAAAGCATTCTATCCACGCAACACTAGCCTGATTAGCAAAGGTCACTGATAATGAAATATCCTTGCACCACATAGCATGCCAAAATTTGACTCCTCATTCTATCTACAATTACAAATTTCACGTGAGATAAAAACTTTGGACATCCTTTCCTAACTCCCTCCCACACACCAATCCCATAGGACACCAAAACATTCTTAGATGTTCACCCTCACACTTCATTATAACCATATTTACATTGAATACACCTACATCAAAGGCATTTATCCACTACAGAATGTCTCCACAGTTATTTTTCCTATAGCTCCTTATTGAAGTTTCTAAAATGCATAATTCACAGGCCCCTTCTAATATTGTAGATGACACCTAAGCACTAATCTAGAACCCTTCGAAGCTTCTTCAACCACTATCATTGAGACTAGGAAAGCGAATAGAAGCATAAAAATACGAGCAAGCTACCTAAAGTGCTCTTTAGGAGAATGAGTTTGCCTTCATTCAAAAGGTATTACCTTCTCCATGCTACCAATCTTTTCTCCACTTGTTCAATAAGACTATCATAAATAGTTGTGGGGTGGAAAGAGGATCCTAAAGGTAACCCAAGTCAAGGATTGAGAGGAATCCACCATCTACATTACACAGACTCTTTGAAATTTAGGAGGTACTCGTGTCGACACGACACGACAGGACACAGTATAGGTGCAGGATATGGCTCTTTACAAATGGATATGACTCTATTTTTCCCTAAATGCAGAAGAAACAAAAGAGAGAGCAATGAGAGAACCTGGTCACTGCTTCGATCCTCTATTCGACGACTTCGATCTCGCGCCCTTCGACTTCCCCTTCGACTTCAACTAGTGTGGCTTTGACTTTGATGAGCACCACTGTAGACAAGCTTCGACCTATCTTCGCTGGCTCTCCAACCTATCTTCGCTGGCTCTGTCTCTCTCTCTCTCTCTCTCTCTCTCTCTCTCAAAAGATATTTAATTAATTTATATGTCATATATCAATAAAAATAACTATTGATAAGTCATATTTATTTATAATATATATATGTCAATTGAAAATAAAAATATTATATAAATAAATTAAAAATATTATCAATAAAAATAATACATAAGATTAAAAATAATAAATATATTTAAAAAATAATTATTTAACTCATCTTCATATAATAAATATATTTAAAGAATAATTATTTAATGTATCCCCGTACCCGTATCCAAATTTGGATCCAAATCCATGGATCCTCAATTTTTAGTTTTGAAGTGTTCGACCCATACATATGCACCCGCAAGCTCGAAGAAGCTACTAAACCCAAACATTGAACCAGGGCTGTTCACAGGTCCAAACACTGAATTGGGGTTGTTCGCGGGTTAGGCGGGTTGGGTCCACAAGTATTACTGTGACTCAAACCGACCTTATTGGATTGGAGATATCTATGATAGACGTTGATGACAGTTCTATTCAAAGCCAACTGCCTCTCTCGTTCGGTCAACGGATAGGTTTCGAACAGTTTCGATTGACCCATTTTCCTTTTTCCCTTCCATTTTAAACTTTAGCATATGCATTGTGATAACCTCGCTTTGCGTTATGCCGTTAATTTTTAATTATATTTGTGATTATGTGCTTAATATGAATTCGGATGCTAAGCATGTGAATATATGTGATTTTGAATTTATATCTATCTATTGTAGCGATATCTATTCTATAGAAATTGAAGGCCTTATCGGCTTCAGAAACCAAAATTGAT